ACTCTTCAGGTTTGGCAGTTCTCTACCAGTGAACCCATCTTTTCATCCCCATGTCCCTCCACATCAGAGCAAGAAATATTTTTTGGTTCCCATGATTGCTTTATCTACTGTTGTACTATGAAAGGTCATCTCCAATGGAAATTTGAAACTACCTCAAGGGTATATTCAACACCATTTGCTTTCCATAACAAGTACAGCAATGAAACGTTGCTCGCAGCAGCATCTACTGATGGGAAACTGTGGATCTTGGAATCTAAGAGTGGACAATTGCAAAGTATGTATGAACTTCCTGGAGAGGTATTCTCTTCTCCTGTGGTTTGGGAATCAATGCTTATTATTGGATGTAGAAATAATTATGTTTATTGTCTAGACTTACTGATTAGCAATAAAAAATAATCAAGTAGTCTTAATTAGAATATATCTGAGATGTTTGATAATATTTACATTATAAAGCATGTGGATGGTCTTATTTTATGATAAAGATTATATTTTGTTTAAGAAACTTGTCTATTACACTTCATTGGAGAACAGCCATATTTTATTTTCTGTAGGAGCAACAATACTTGTAAAAGGATTTATAAAACAAAACATCAATATATTTAGTAGCACTTTCTAAGTTAGGCTACAGATACTTTATTTTTTTATAGAAGACCTTTGAAAAACAAGATCAGAATATACTTAGTGGCTTAAAAACTTAATCTGTGAGGTAATACACCATTCACTCATTTATACTGAGATTCGTAACAAAAGATTTTTAAAGGTAGGAGCTATTGATCAAATTAGGTCCCTTGTTAAATTTTTTAAATAAAATTTATTGGGATAGCATTGGCTAATAACCTTATGTAAATTTCAGGTGTACAACTTTATGACATCTGCATACTCTATTGTGTGCTCACCAGCTGAAGTCTAGTCTCCTTCTGTTGCCATATATTTGACCCCCTTTACCCTCCTCATCTTTCCCCCACCCCCTTCCACTTTGGTAACCACCATTCTGTTGTCTGTATCTGTGAGTTTATTTGTTTATTGCTTTTGGTTTTATATCCCCCATACAAGTAAAATCATACAGTTTTTGTCTTTTTCCACCTGATTTATTTCACTTAGTATAATACTCTCAAAATTCACCCACACTAGGTCAAATGGCAGTATTTTATCTTTTTTATGGCTGAGTAGTTTTCCATTGTATATATGTATCACATTTTGTTTTCAAAATTATAAGAGGAAGTTTGTTTAGAAAGTTATAGAGGTAGTAAAAGTGAGCCATTGAAGAAATGGGCTAAGGAAACAAGTTACAGAGGCAAGAGAAGGGCCCTTGTAGCTTAGGAAAGTACATGTGATAAGAAGATTTGAGCACCTGCTCTGGGGAGGGAGAGAGAGCGAGCGAGCGAGCCTGTGTGGTTTTTTGTGTGTTTTTTTAAGTATTTTTTTTATTGATTTTTTACAGAGAGGAAGGGATGTGCCCGCAACCAAGGTACATGCCCTTGACCAGAATCGAACCTGGGACCCTTCAGTCCACAGGCTGACGCTCTATCCACTGAGCCAAACCGGTTAGGGCATCTTCTTTAGAGTTTAAGTATCAATCTGCAGGTGCAGGGGCCTCATGTGTGCAGGCTATGGCACCCTCCTCATCCTGCTGGATCTAGCTCCAGGAAGCTGGGGACATGCGAACACGGCCCTGCTAGTCAGCTAGAGAACCTGGATAGGACTTGGGCCCGCCATCCAAGTGCAGGGGAAATGTAAACAGTGGTGCTCACCGGTTTTTTCTGTCCTGGATACTTCCCTAAGCTCCTGGAGAGCTGCTTTGGTTCCCAGCCTCTTCTGTGTGGTCTCTCTAGTTGTGCAGAGGCTGTTCTATTGGCCCTTAGTTGTCTCTCAGGAGGAAACTGCTCTAAATATAGGTATAATTTGATGTATTTTTGGAAGAGGGCAAGCCTTGCAACCTCCTATACCACCATCTTGGACTTGCCTCCAAAACAGTATTTGAGTTTTTGTGCACCAAGGCAAGTACCTCACCCACATCACTCACTTCGACCTAGTCCAGCCACGTGGGTCAGTAGCTCTGGCCCGGGGCCCTAAGCTGTGTTTTTCACATGCATTCAGCTTTGAAACATGCTGCTGTTCCATCACCCACACTCAGAGTAAGGAGGTTGTAGGATCATATTGTCTGAGAGACAGACCATTTGATTCCAACTGAGGATTAAGATAAACATTTTATTTGACCCTATTCATTAGTTTTCTCCAAAAACACCTAGTAAAAAATATAATAAGGTACCATATAAAATGCCTTGAAGTATTTCTTTTGCAACAAAAGCTACGTAAATATGAGCTTGCTTGAAATTAGTAAAGACATAAACTTGAAAAGGAAATTCTGTTGGTGCTAAAGATCTTGTGGGTATTTTTTATTGAAAGATCATTTTCCTTCAATAATGGACATTTTACATTAAAACTTTATACAACCAAAATCTGAAAATAATATTAAAATCACACTAAGGTATTTTCATGGTTAAGCCTCTACTTAATTTTATTGTTGGTAAAAATATTGCAAGACACTTGTAACTCTAATATTTCTGCTTTAAAATAAGCAATTAAGCTAAATGTCACAAGAAGAGACAATACATACTACAATTTGCTGATAACTGGCTAAAATGATAATTTAATAGTAATTAATGTATAAGAAACAATTGCACTTGAAAAATTTAAAAAGTAAACAAAAACTCTATGAACAGAAGTTAATCATCTATAACCTTGCCAAGGGAAGTGTGTGTGTTTTAATTAAAAACAAATAAACAAAAAACCACCTGTGTATTTAACATTGCAATAGGATTTTTTTAAAAGTCTTGAATTTTTTATGTTTTTACAGAATTTCCCCCATAGTTTGTTGATGAGAAAAGACTGCAACACAATTAAAGCAAAATAACACTTCATTGGTATTTAGTGCAAATTTGGAGTAATTTTTACATGAAATATTAAACATAAAGCCTTTAGAAGTTGTTGGAAGTAAATGCTGTGACTGTGCTTTCCTCAGTATACTCTTCTTTTAAAGATTTTGAAGGAAACTTTTTAACTGAGTTATTTCTCCTATTTCGTATGGGCTTTATGGTAAGTGACCCAGTACAGAGTGCACTCATCTACCATTCTTCGTTAATCAGATTTCTTCACTTGCTCTCTGCCATTACTGTGACATCCAAAACTGATGAGATGATAGAAAAGGCCAATTCAGATGAATTACTGTAGCACTAAAATTCCAGGACTCAGGTGAGAAAATTCCCATTAAAAAGTGTTACATTAGTGAGGAAATCATTGAAACTAACAAATGTCTACATATTTGACTTAAAAATGAACATCAGCTGGAAAACGTGCAGTAGAATATTGCTTCCCATAGCGATAAAAAAAATTAAAGTTCCATTGATTCTTAACAGTCTGAAGGTCCAGTATATATATATATAATATTAAATCCTACTTGGAAGAGTACGGCTATCCTTATGACCACACATGCCAGCTGCTACCATAAGGCCGAGCCCTCGTCTCCAGAAAGAAAATGCCTTCTATATGGTAAATAACTGCCAGTCATCCTTTCTTTAAGGTAAATGGTAGAATAACAGCACAGAGTAATAGCACATTGCCTGTTAAGTGAGCATAAAGGAGAATAATGATGCATAATAATAAAATGTGTTTTTCTGTAGGAGAGGAAAAAAGGATGTAATTTTCCTTGCACTGGGCAAAAGATCTGTACTTATACTTGGGAGTCAGGAGCTAAGAAAATGGGAGTGTGCCAACACCACGAAATGTAAAATGAGTAGCAGCAATGTGTGGGCTTGCTGTATGTCTATGTTTCATGTAAAGCAAATTTAGGGAAATAGTGACTATAGGTGGCTTTTAAATAGCCAGGTCCCTTCTTTGTATCACATGTGTATAACAAGGCCACTTAAAACTCTGAGATGTTTTTTAAAGGTAGCAAGGTGAATGCTCTGAATGATAAATGCTATTGAATATTTGACTCTGAATATGAATTAGTCAGTTATGGTAAAGAGGGAAACTTCCCACAGGAGATCCTTAGTACAAAGGCTCCAAATCTTATCTTCCTGTTAATGGTTTTATTATTTTTCCCATCTCACTTTTGCTTCTTTGGGTGCAGAGTCCCCCTCTCAGAGTTTTAAAATCTAGATTACAGTAGAAGCAGTGTATTCCAAGGTTCTCAACCTTGGATATATCACAATTCATTTGAAGCGTTTTGCCAGGATACACATTTCTAGGCCTGATGGAGCCTGGACATCTCAAGAACAACTGCACTAGATGGGGGGAGTCTCAGACAGATTTGTAGTTTCCATTTTTTTACCATATTAAAGAAAAATGTTCCCTAGGAGCTAGATGGGCCAAATGTTGAACATGTCCTGAAGGAGAGGCCTGGTGTAATGGCGTCTGTGGATCAGTGTGGAAGAGGCATGGATGGATTCCCTTTCTGTGTTAGTTCAGGTTGGGGAAAATTCATGAAAACCAGACATGGGCACAGAGTTGGGAGCCAGACTGTGACTTGCAATTCAGTTACTGGCTGCACTCAGGAGAAGGAGGGTTCTTATTTCTCCCTTCCTGTGGTCCTTTCACCATTGCTGTAGAAAAAGATAGAAATCCTTAAATATGGCAGGGTAAAGGTTTTGGATAAAAGAAATTGGAGCACAGAGTCAAAAAACCATGGTAAAGATTGGCAAAAGTACATGTTCAGTGGTGTGTGGGTGTCCATGTGGAATGGGGTGGCAGGCTCTCCTGAGGAGTTCTTAGGAGATCTTGCTTCCTGTGGTCCCTCGGACAGAACTTTCTCTTTAGAACTAGGAGGAGCTCAAGGCACCAGGACCTAGGGTTGTGCAAATACACTCTTACAAGGAATACCACCAGTTCAGTTTCTAAATGTTATTTTAGAGCCTATAAAACATGCTTCTTTTCCCTAGCTTGGTTTCTTTACCTCATATAAAAAAATAAATAAATAAAAAGGACAGGAGAGGAGCCAATAACTGGGAATAGGAATGGAGAAGAGTCACTCTTTACTTAATAATCTGTGGGCAGTCGCTCCAGGCCTTGGCTTTCCTTTTGGCCAAAGCCAGCCAGGCTGGTTCTGTTGACACGGGAGCAGCATCTGGGGTGGAAAACCTCTTTGTGACTTCTTTCACCAGTGGCGCTGGGGGAGGCGAATCAGAGATCTCCACTGGGTTGCATTTTGAAGGAAAAGGAGAAAGGTATGAGTCAGAGCCACACTTTGATGTATCATACAATGGGATTCAGAAAGGAAAACTCAGTGAGACACTGGGCATCTTCGTTGAGAATTAGAGAAAGCAAGCTATGTGATTGTAACTGTTAACGTGCAACATTATAGTGATCACAGTGCAGTCAGTTCTAATTTCAAGAAGCATTTTTTTTCTGTGCACAGAAGCTAGGTCTGCATGATAATAAAAAATGTAAAAATTTTGTGATTCTAATCATATAGCCAATCAATGTCATGAGGAAAATGAACAAACAAGCAGTTTGGATTTATCAAGCTGGTGAGGTCAAAAGTGCCTGCCCCCACCAGGCACGCCTGGGGTTCCTTCCCCCTCAGGCCCACAGATCCTGCCAGCTCTTAGGAATCTCGGTCTTGTCTAGCAATTTCTTTGCCTCATATTGCTTTCTTACCGCGTCATAAACACTTAAGGTGAGGGTTCCCACCCAAAGCAGACCTCAGGAACTACTGGTGGGAAAGACAAATACAGTATTTCAGAACAAAGGCTAGCTATCATAACTGGAGCCACCTGAACTGCAGTAACCCTTTGGAGCAGCGGTTCTCAACCTGTGGGTCGCGACCCCTTTGGGGGTCAAACAACCCTTTCACAGGGGTTGCCTAAGACCGTCAGAAAACACATATATAATTACATATTGTTTTTGTGATTAATCACTATGCTTTAATTATGTTCAATTTGTAACAATGAAATTGGGGTCACCACAACATGAGGAACTGTATTAAAGGGTCACGGCATTAGGAAGGTTGAGAACCACTGCTTTGGAACTTCCAAGAAATCAGGGCAGAGAAAGGTGTAATCTCTGATTTTGGAGCTTCTCACTTGATTTTGAACTAATTCTCTCTGACACACCCATGTAATGTATAGAGCCCTTAATTCCTGGGTATAAAAGCCTAATGAAATAATACCCATGGAGGTTCTTGAGAAATTGTACAGTGCTCCAAAGCGGTTTCCAAAAAAATTGTTTTCTCCTCACCAAATAGTAAATACAGCTTTGATGGTGAGACCTCTTCACATTTCCAGAACTCAGCACGCAGATAACCAAGGCGTACAAAAACCCTGGGTCTGGAGGTTGGATGCCCTCCTGGGAACAGGGCTGCCCAGGGTGCACAACATGCCCTATTAACCCTGGAGGAAACTTGTTTAGGTTCATCCCTCCTCCAAGCGATTTGTAATAAGCACATAGTTGGAAACATTATGGATCATTTTACCTTTTATTAGAATAAAGGATTTTTAAAAAATGTGTATGTATCTTTTATAAAGTGTCATGAACGTATCAACACTGCTGTTGTTAATTAACATCCAGGACTTGGAGCCGAACAACCTTGCTCTCTGAAGTCACAGCTGGTCAGACACTTGCCCTTTGAAATCGCATTGGTGAAAGGGACCATCCCACTTAGGAGCATCTCAGCCACCTGGGTCACTGACTCAACCACAGCTTCTGTTTCCATCCCAGGTACAGAGCTCCAGGTGGGGGTTTTCAGATACAACTTGCACACATTTATTTTAACGTCGTAGTGCCAGGAAAACAGGGCCCTGAGTCCACTTTTCAACTCCGGCCTGATATCAACCCCTTCATGTACACCCCACACCCTCGCTTTGCTTTAAGCAATATCAAAACTCTGCTCCACTTAAATTTTACCTAAACTTCACCCTTTTCCCCAAATCCTACTAGAATCGTATCTCTTCCTTTGTTTAGAGGTCCGTAAGATATGTAGTCTCCCTTACTACAGCAAGTTAATAAACCTCGTTTTGTTGGACTACAGGCAGTGGGGGCATTGGAGATGGCTCATATCACACCTTGTTAGCTTCAGAAATTTATTAGACCACACTGATAGGTTGAAACTGGCCATGGTGGGAATATTTACACCACAGTACATGGCAAATACTAATCAGAGGATGCTCTGCTCCCTGATTGCTAAAACATTGGCCACCACACCACTGACAGTTTCTGGTGGTCTCTGTCAGATGAGCTGATGACCAGTGTCTAAGTTTATGAGAGTGGTGGTGAAACAGCCTGTGGTGTTATTACACCTGAGGAAATAAAGCATGCTCCAAGGAGAGAAACCTGTAACTGAGGTCAAACAGAAATGCTCCTGCTCTCGCTACCTGTCACAGATGTGGGAAGGGTGTTGGCCTTTTTCAGCTGCTCTCTGCGCTCAAGCCTGGACCCTGCTGTCTCCGGCTTCTTGTCTTCTGGATGAGCCATGGACTTGAGCAGGGATCCAGCTCTGCTGACACTGCTGCTTCCTGGCTGTGGACTGACACTGACCTGGGTGGGCAGAGAAAGTCAGGAAAAGTATGTTTCCAACCTGAGTACATGCAAAGGCGCACAGTGCAGGGCCTGGGGGTTCTGCCAGTCAGCACCAGTCTCTGTTCCCAAAGGAGCAGCGGGAGTGCACTTGGGAGCAATGTGTCTCCAGCCCTGGCCCCGATCATGAAGCCGCTCAGTACAAATGTCCCCAAGAGGGAACGCAACTTTCCTCGAAGAGCCCCGTCCAGTTAACTGTAAGAGCAGGGTCACCGAGAGAGACTGATTTCCTCCAAAGCCCTGCTCCCGTACAATCATTTTCATATTCCTCACGTAACTGTCGTGTGTGTGGATTGTTCCTACTAATTACATTGTGAATTCTGCCAAATCAAGTTACCTTAATAGCATAAGGGAACTGAATAAAATTTCTGACTGAAAATGCTTTCCTGTCTAATGGTGGTTAATTTGTTTATTGCTCTATTCTTTCTAGATATTCTACACCACTCCCAGTTAGCCTTTTTTTAAAAAAAAATTTTTTTTTGATTGATTTCAGAGAGGAATGGCGAGGGAGAGAGAGAAAGAAACATCAATGATGAGAATCAGCTGCCCCTTACTGGGGATCGAGCCTGAAACCCTGGCATGTGTGCCGACTGGGAAGCGAACCCTGACCTCCTGATTCATAGGTGGACATTCAACCACTGAGCCACACTGGCTGGGCTTTCTTTTCCTTTTGTAAGTCCTTGCAGCCATAAAAGAGCCAAGCTCAGAAAGGCAAGGTTAAGGCTGAAGACCAGGCTACTCACGTTGTCTTTGGAGAGCTTTTCTGCCTGTTTGGCCTCCCTCGCTTGCTTCCTCTCCTCTCGAGTCGCCTGCTGCTCCCGAAACCCCTTCTGCTTTTGCAGGGCTAACGTTATCCACAGTGGCTGCGCGGTTTCAACTTTCTCCACAAGTTTGGAGCCATCTAAAGAGTGTCTGCTCTGAAGCACCGGCTTTTCTGTGGGGGGAAAAAGACTGATATTGTGATTTATAATAAGAAATACATATTTGGTCTTTATCCTGTTTCTGGCACAGAGCTAAGTGATGAGAGCGTAAAGATGTCTCATGTTATGTGAATGAGGCTACTTTGGGACCACACTTCAGGATGTGGGGGGTGGGAGGCTGGTTGCTGGGTGAACCAACTGAGCGATCAGAAGATTAGAACTTACAATCTCACCCCCCAACCTCCTGGGAGGGGGGAAGCCTGGAGGTTGAATCAATGCCAAAGATAAAACCAATCATACCTGTGTAATGCAGTCTCCAAAAAACCCCAAAGGTCAGGGTTTGGAGAGCTTCTGGGTTGGTGACGAGGTGGAAGTGCCGGGAGGTTGGCCACCCAGAGAGCATGGGACTTCCCCGCCTTTCCCCATACCTTGTATCCTTGTATGCATCTCTTCCACCTGGCTGTTCCCGAGTTCTATCCTTTTATAACAAACCAGTGACCTAGTAAGGCAAATGTTTCTCTGAGTTCCATGAGCCACTCGAGAATATTAATCAAACCCAAGGAGGGGGTTCCTGGGAACCTCTGATTTTAACCAGTCAGAAGCACCTGGATCTGAAGGTACAGCCTTATGGGACTAAGCCCTTAACCTGTAGAACAGAACACCATCTTGAGTTGAATTGTAAGACACCAGCTGGTGTCTGAGAGTTGCTGGTGGTGTGGGAATCCCTCCCCTGCAACACACGCCTTTGAACTGTGTTCAGAACTAGTAAAGACAAAAGCCAGCTTTCAGTGAAATGAACTGTTCTCGTATCTCAGTACCTCACCCCCTAAAACTTGTGACGTATTCATCAGCCCACTGAACATTCAACTGGCCCTTCCTAATAAAACTCCGTACTCATGTCTGAGTGACTCCACTGGGTAGGAAAGTAATATCTCTAATCAACAGAAACAAGAGCCTTTCTCTTCCCTCTCTCCAGTGTCATAAAATCTCAGGCCCACAAGGGACCCAGGGGGCTATTTGATTCATTATTGTTCTTTTTTAATTTATTGCTTTTCAAAATTTTTGCAAAAGCTTTTCCCCCTTACAAGCAGTATCCTATGTGGAAGCCCAAAGTATGAAAGAGGAAAATGGGGCACTGCTCTGCCCCAGGGGCTGCTGAGGACAGCAGGGCTTTGAGGAACCCAGTGCGAACCATGATTTTGGCCCAGTGCCCTCCTTTGATAGACGTGAGTAATGAGGTCCACAGTGACCAAGTCCCGTGTCCGAGGTCACCCAGCAGCTAGTGTACAGGCTGAATTGTGAACCGAGGGCTTCCGGCTCCCAGTCTGTGTTTCTCTTACATTGACTGTCTTGCCTATGGAACTGGGGTAAACACACTTCACAGATGGGTGGTAGCTGAGGTTGGGCTCTAGAACTGAGCAGACCTGGGTTTGACCTTTTGTGACCTTAGGAAAGCCACTTAACTCCTCTAAGAAGGGAGACACTTTAATTTGAAATAGTGTTTGGAGTTCTGATTATGACACTGGAGGAGACATATTAATTACTAACATGAGACTGTTATTACTGCAAGTGCCTAGGGGACGTTTTCTTTTCAAAAAGTGACAGAAACCATAGGAAGAACTCCGACCGCTTAACAACCAAAAACAAAATACCCAATTAAAAATGAACAAAGGACTGGAATAGACATTTCTCTTAAGAAGACATACAAATGACTGACAAGCATATAGAAAGATGCTCAACATCACTAATTACTAGAGAAATGTAAATCAAAACCACAATGAGGGTATCACCTCGCACCCATTAGGATGGCTACCATAAAAAAAAAAAAAAAACAGAAAATAACAAGTGTTGGCGAGGATGTGGAAAATTAGAATTCTGTGCACTGCTGGTGGGAATGTAAAATGGTACAGCTGGTGTGGAAAACAGTAGGGCAGTTCTGAAAAAAATTAAAAATAGAACTACCATAGAACCCGGCAATTCCATTTCTGGGCTTTTATCCAGAAGTACATGGGATGTTTGCACACCCATGGTCATAGCAGCACTAGTCAAACGAGCCAAGAAGTGCAAGCAATCTAAGTGTCCATGGACAGATGAATGGATAAATCAAGTGTGGTATATACACACAAGGGTAGGTCATTCAGCCTTAAGAAGGAAGGAAATCCTGTCATATGCTACAATATGGATGAACCTTGAAGACATTGTACTAAGTGAAATAAGCCAGTCACCAAAAAAGACAATCCTAGATGATTCCACTTATGTGATGCTTCTAGAATAGTCAGATTTATAGAAACAGAAAGTTGAATGTTGTTTAATGCTTACAGTTTCAGTTTTGCAAGATGAAAAATTTGCGTGCACAATGTGAAATATGCTTAAGACTACTGAACTGTACACTGAGAAAAGATAGCCAATTTTATGTTACATACTTTGACCACAATAAAAATTGTTTTCTAATGTGACTAAAAGAACTGTGCCCAAAATATTATCCAAGAGATGCAGGGAAAAATGAGAAATCATAGATCAGGTTTAAAAGAACTGCAAGAAAAGGAACAAGACAAGAAGGCTTTGCTAAATCCTACGGCATTTTTAAACAATGTTGTTTTGAACAAATATATGAGTAAGGTCCAAGAAGTAACATGAGGACATAATGAGAAATGTTTTTCAAGGCTAACAGCATTTTACAAATGCCAGGTGAGAGTTACTGGAGGCGGTCCTAGGTTACTGGGAAGATCATATGAGGGGGGGGGATTGGGTGATCATTGCTATATTAATTCCCATCAGGATTGGTTCAGAGTCTCCACCCTCCCAGTGGCTTCACCTTGGTATTGGTCCTCGCTGGCCTGGGTCCCAGGAATAGAAACCTCTTTCTAAAGCAGTGGTCTCAAATAAAAAGGGTGTGTGTGCCCTAGGGGATGTACAAGGCCATTCATTGGGGGTAAAGGAAGAAAAGCTTAGAATTTCTATTTATACATCTTTAAAAATATAAAAATAAAGGTGAAATCAAGCTTTTCTAATCTAATAAAAGACAAACGTGCAAATTGACCATACCTTCGCTATGCCTCAAGCCACATCCACCAGCCAATCAGAGTGACTGTATGCAAATTAACACAACCAACTAATTAAAAAGATAGAGCATCTGAGTAGGTATTTTTCCAAAGAAAACAAGCAGATGGCCAAGAGACACATAAAAAGATGCTCAACACCACTAATTATCAGGGAAATGCAAAGCAAACCACAGTGAGATATCATCTCACACCTGTCAGATTGGCTAGTATCAAAAGGACAATAAACAAATGTTGGCAAGGATTTGTAGAAAAGGGAACCTCATACACTGTTGATGGGATTACAAACTGGTACAGCCATTATGGAAGCCAATATAGAGATTCCTGAAAAAAATTAAAAATAGAACTACCATAGAACCCGGCAATTCCATTTCTGGGCTTTTATCCAGAAGTACATGGGATGTTTGCACACCCATGGTCATAGCAGCACTAGTCAAACGAGCCAAGAAGTGCAAGCAATCTAAGTGTCCATGGACAGATGAATGGATAAATCAAGTGTGGTATATACACACAAGGGTAGGTCATTCAGCCTTAAGAAGGAAGGAAATCCTGTCATATGCTACAATATGGATGAACCTTGAAGACATTGTACTAAGTGAAATAAGCCAGTCACCAAAAAAGACAATCCTAGATGATTCCACTTATGTGATGCTTCTAGAATAGTCAGATTTATAGAAACAGAAAGTTGAATGTTGTTTAATGCTTACAGTTTCAGTTTTGCAAGATGAAAAATTTGCGTGCACAATGTGAAATATGCTTAAGACTACTGAACTGTACACTGAGAAAAGATAGCCAATTTTATGTTACATACTTTGACCACAATAAAAATTGTTTTCTAATGTGACTAAAAGAACTGTGCCCAAAATATTATCCAAGAGATGCAGGGAAAAATGAGAAATCATAGATCAGGTTTAAAAGAACTGCAAGAAAAGGAACAAGACAAGAAGGCTTTGCTAAATCCTACGGCATTTTTAAACAATGTTGTTTTGAACAAATATATGAGTAAGGTCCAAGAAGTAACATGAGGACATAATGAGAAATGTTTTTCAAGGCTAACAGCATTTTACAAATGCCAGGTGAGAGTTACTGGAGGCGGTCCTAGGTTACTGGGAAGATCATTTTACCTGGGAGAGAACTCTTCCCCAAACTGGCTTTACCACTGTAGAGAGCAGACAAGTCATCAGACTTCTCAGATGTTGGTGTCGTCAACTGTAAAACTGAGCTAAGATTGTCTATCTCTACATATGCCGTGAGGCTGAACTAAATGTTATAAATAAAAACACTTTGTAAATGATTAAGCACAAAGGATGACTGTTGAAATTTTCCAAAGCAGTAAAATCACTCATTTCATTCAAGGTTTTGAAAGAGATGTTCTTTGTTAATCACATAACCTTTTTGGTCAGGAGTTCAGAATATGTCATTAAAATTTTATTTTGTTGCAATGTTTAAACCTATTCTCTCTCATTCTAAACTCAGTGGACAAGCAGAACCACAGTCCACTTAAGTTCCCTCCTTCAGGTCCCTGGGAGACACGCAGGCACCTCCTGGCATTTACGGGGTTCTAGTCATTGCTCCCAGGGTCAGGGCTTGGAGAAAAGACCAGTTACTATCTGTTCTACCCACCGTCAGGGGCTCAGGGGCTGGGAGTTTCCGAATGACATATCTGTAATCAAAGTGTTACAGGAGAAACACGGCGGGGGGTGTGGTGGTGGGGGGGGATGA